ACATTTGCAGATGATGTTCTCGTATGTACGAAAGGAAGTAGTCGTAATCAATTAGCACAAGAATTACAGGCGACATTAGATAAGGTGACCGACTGGTGTACATAGATGAGTGCTATAATTAACCCAAAAAGGCAACCGTCCTGTGGTGCTCTTTGGACAACAGGGTTATTAGAGCTGATGTTCCAAGCTTCAAAATAAATGGCAGGGACATCAAAAGAGACAGCAGACTGCGACACCTGGGAATCACCTTTGACAGAAGTTTGTCTTTCAGGGATCACATAGAGAAGGTGGTGACAAGGGCTCAGAAACTTCTTAAAAGGTCTTAATAAACGGTTTTCAAGTTGTAATCTTCTTTAGTTAACAACCATTTGTGAATTACTTATTCACTTACCCTCGTAAATCGCCATGTCTCAAGAAAGGTTATATCTGCATGCCTTAAGTAAAATTTCAGGCCTCGGGGTCATACGGTTGAGAAGTAAATATAATTAAAAAGCTGGCAGTTAGATGGTTGCATTATCAGACATTGCCTTGACGATCTCGACACAATATAAGTCCTGAGGTGGTTAACTAACCTTCGATGTAATAATCAATAAGACTTGGGTCATGTTTAATGTCTACAAATTTGCAACGATTCCATAGTGAGGTTAAATTACTGGCCCGGAGACATGCTAGCGTTTAGCTGACTGTTTGGAACAGTCTTGTCAACTTTCCTATCTTTCTTATCTTTCCTAAGTTGTTTAATCACCCTCTTACTCTCTCCCATTTCTGTCGGTCTGGCGGGTATTTTATGTTGAAGTTTGTTCATGATTTCATCTGCCTTGTCATCTTCGCTAATCTTGTTTGACTGTAAATTCCGAAGGGCTGGGTTGAGTGCATACGGTGCCACATATTGTAATCATCATTATCATCATTAGATACCTTGCAAAGTGACATCAGCCATGTTACTTTCCAAAACTAGATCAGTACTAAAATTTCTCAGCTGTGTTTTCCTTGTAATTATTTCTTGCGACACGAACGGTTATTAAGCATCGTCTCTTGGTGTCTGTATTTATCATGTAACATTAAACTGGGTGTCGTCTCCGCCATCAATGTTGACTTAAGGGTTTTGCTGCTGTCTTTGGGTATATTAGGTGCTGAGGACCCAATCTCTTCTATGGTGTGACTACTGTACGACTGTTAAAAACTGCCACTGAAACCCAGCCCTGGTAAACCAGGATCCCGACTTTATTCAAACGCGTTCACTACCGTATAAGCCACAGTTCTCCTTTAGTTTCCATTAATTGTTTCCGCTGTTGTATCACCTGTCTTACTTTGATGAAGTCAGTCATGTATGTTTAACATACAGTTTGTTAAAATTGATACCATTGTTATTCGAACAAATTACATTTGCAGGATGGCTTACTTTGGATGTCAAAAAGGGACTTGAATGATTGTTACAGATCAGTTGATATCCCCAGTATGGCTGTTATGTTTCCCGCCTCCTGCTCCACACTTTGCTTCTGCTACTTAGCCTGTGAGGTCAATGGGGTGTCGTGTGTATCAGCCATCGTCTGTCTTCGGGATCCCAGCCTGGAGCAGACATCGTCGACCTGGGTTCTCAATCTGTGTCGTCTGATATTTTCATGCAAGTCGTGTTGCTTTGCTTGGTACTTGTTGGCAATCACTTTCAGAATTCTACACACATTCTTCTCTGCTGTTCTGTGATTTTCTGGTGTGATATTTTCATGCAAGTCGTGCTGCTTTGCTTGGTACTTGTTGGCAATCACTTCCAGAATTCTACACACATTCTTCTCTGCTGTTCTGTGATTTTCTGGTGTGGTATTTTCTCACATAAGGCTAATTTATCTTTTCCATCTTATCCGTTGATCTGGTTTACACATTCCAGTTAGTTCTTTACTGCGATAACCTGTGATCTAGTTACTTTTGCAGCTCTCAGGATCTCAGTTTCTATTTCCTTGTCTATCCATTATCTTCTCTATTTTCTTCTCTCAAACCACATCTACCTGTAAACTCTTACCTTGTCATTACTGACCGTTGAGAATCCACATCCACACTCGCACGGAAAATAAACAATAGACACAGATGGTACAGGTAAACAAACAGAAACATTGTTGTTGTACAGTGTGTGGCAGTGACATAGTTGCAATAGCAATCAAGTATGTGACACGATATCAGGTTTGTTGGTTTCAAAAAATTAAAAGACTTGTCTAATACATCTCACTGCTAAAATAATGACAGACTATAATTCTGTTGATAAAATCACCTGCGTTTAAAATATTACGTGACTTTGATGCCCCACCCCCCCCACCCCACCAAAATGGTTATTACGCTGGTTCAGATTATAACTATAGACATTACTTTGCATGAGGAAGTCCCAACACTCACAACGCGGGTTTAGATGTGAGTTCACATCGTTTTTAAGCACAGAAATGAGCCTCAGGAAAGAACACACAGGATGTGGCTTTATAATGTCAGCCATGGCATGTTTATTTCTGTTTGCGATTATTTTCACTGACCTATGTCCTAACCTGCACAGTCTGTGGCAACAGCACTGGCTATGTGGCCCTAAATCCTCAAGCTCTCGATCACCTGTCTACATCGCCCTAAAAAAGGGGGTTAATACAGACAGTAATGACAGTTTGATGGTATTTCCGGTGACCCATGACACTTGCATACATCGTAACTGGAAACGTGAACTATGGTGTGCAGGTGTTGGCGTTACAAATATTCTTGGTGCTGTCATTTAAGATCATGTTTTGAAACAGGTTGTTTCAGCACATTCTGATTGCCTTTACATGCCCTTGATAGCACTCACTGAGGTCAATGAAACAAAGTAAATGTTAAAAGACGCACAAGACAATAGGCAAAAAGACCCACGAAGAAGCATTGACTGTGGACTAAACAATTTCAGTTGTCAGTCATATGTGAAGGCAGAAGTGAAGCTCCACTCGGATTCCGAGCTTGAGTGAAACAGTTTGTAGCTTTACCAGTGGCTTGAAAGAAACAATGAAATAATGTATCAGACCTTAGACACGGGGAGAATACTGAGAGAGGAAAAGAGAAGATTGTATTTAAAAGTCTCCATGTAGGTTGTGGTAATATTTATATGTGTAGTTGAAATTTTCAGGACATTTTCCACGCCCTTATGCACATTGGGCATATAGGGCTAGACCTATATTTTATAGACCGATCGGTATTCGATGGATGATGTCATCAATACTCCACCGGCTGCCTTTCAGGACTTAACCTGGTACCCATTTGAGCGTGGTGCGACCTATGATACAAGGTCCTTCCTTTTGGATTCGAGCCAACGACTTTAAATCCATATGCTAGTGCTACCCATTGAGTATTAGATACGTGTACCTTAGGGTATTAATGTGCAGCTTTAGATCTTCCAACTGTAAATGCTGTGGCGACTTGGCCTTGGCGCATGTCTGTCGCTATCTGTGCCATACACAGCGTGCCATTCAAACGTATGTACTCAATGTCAGGAATCACGCCAGGCGCATTCACCCATCAGGACGACTATAGTTTGTTTCAAAACTCGTGCCCGAAAACTTAAATAAATATGTCGAAAATTTCTGTATGGATCAACACAAAATTGTGCATGCTATCGTAGATTTTCCGAATTTCTTATGATTTTGTAATTTATATTTGCACAGGCGCTATTATTTTTTTAAAGCTGCGAATCTCATTGATCTCTAATAATTTGTGAAGCCCTATAAAATACAGTTTACAGTAATCGACACAAATCGTCTGGTTCAAACCAAAAACGTGGAGATAGTTTTGTGAAAATCAGTTCACAAGTGCAGCGATGATGTTGATTTTTAAAAAATATATCCTGTCCTAAACACAATGAAATATTGTATTCGTGTAATTCACGAAAAAAAAAAGGGGGGGGGGGGGCAATCCAGAAGACTGACTACCTGAGAGTGTAATGTAATGCCGTGTGTGTGTGTGTGTGTGTGTGTGTGTGTGTGTGTGCACAGATTACCTCTAAAAAGAGTGCAGGTGACGCTTTCAAAAGTTAGTGTCACTCTGTTACTGTAAATGCTAATTAAATGTCTGCATTCGGAATCTGTTTAATTTTTTTTTTCATACACAGCAAATAGTACCTCCCCCTCCCCCTCCCCCCCCCCCCCCAACAAAAAAAAAAAAACACACACACACATTAGATGAATATTTACATTATAGTAATTTTGATACAAAGGAATAATTTTTAACAGGTTTCATGCCAAATTTCAACAGTTTACACCAAACGGTTACTGGGCTATAGATCTTCAAATTTGGGCACGACTTTTCAAACTGACTATAAACGATTGGAAGCGGCTGCCACCTGTATCAACGTTAACCATCACTATCTGGACACGGTTCACTGACTGTCTGATAAATTCTTTACAGGTACTGATCGACACTCAGAGAATGACACCAAGGTAAAGAATAAGAACATCAATGTATATGGTAATTTGTTAGAATATAAAATGTTGGAACCTCTCTTGTTCAGCGACCTGGCCATAATCTCCGCCATTAACGTCGTGTACATTAATTCCGCTATAGCATTTAGTGGGATTATCGCCAACATCATCAATATTTTCGTGTACGCAAAAATGGACCACAATGACACCACTAATATTAGTCTTTTAGCGCTTTCAGTTTCGGACTTGTGCTCTCTGGTTGTGCTTGTTAGCATCTGTTCTTCTCATTATTCTTATTACCACACCGGAGGTCTCCTTATAACGCTGTTAGAAATTAAATGGTCAATTCTAGGACATACTTACTTCTATTTCAAACGAGTAAGTAACTGGATACTAGCTTTCATCACATGTGAGAGATGTCTGTGTATTGTTCAACCAATCAAAGTGCGCGACATAATCACCCCAAGAAGATCAGTTGCAACCCTTGTCATCATTTGTGTAATTTTGGCAGCGTTACTGTCACCACTGTACGCGTTCTCCATTTTGCCGTACGTACTAATTTCCGAAACTAACGAAACTTTACCGATGGTTGCCAATGCTGGACACATGATAGACCTAGAGTCTCTCATATATGGAGTTTCCTTCGCATTAACCATACTAACTCTTATCTGGGTTATCGTCTGCACTTGTATCCTTGTCATAGCGCTCAGGAGGAACACCAGTTGGCGGGCTGGAGCAGGCGGCATTCAAGCATCTGAGAAACTTTCCACACGTGACAAGAAAGTGACAAAGATGATAATTTTACTGTTGGTGATATTCCTTGTACCTTTCTTTCCGGATTGCTGTGTTTTGTTTGCGCAAGCAGTGGTCCAAGAACTGTCTTTCGAGGGTAGATATACATTTCTGTATTTGTGTATTGTCACCCTGATGGAGAGTCTGTATGCGCTTCATGCGTCGGTTAATATTGTTGTCTACGTAAACATGAGTTCGAAGTACAGGGAGGCTTTAAAGATGTATCTTTCATCCGGGTTGTCCTGGTGCGCCAAGCTGTATTGTTTTAAAACATAGACCAGGAGGTCACTATTTGCACTTTACAAGACCGTCGTAGAAAGTAGTAGTTGTTGATTTCTTATTGTTGTTGTCGTGTTTGGCGTTTAGCAGCTATAAACTCCAAAAGAAAGTCCGGACTGTTTATCCGTATCTGAACTTTTGACTTTTCCCAGGACTTGTTTCAAGTCTTGAGTACTCATTTATTTTGCAGAACTGACTTATTGAATGCAGAGTGTTGTTGCCCTGCCTCTCAGGCAGATGCACTGCGACTAACAGTAAACGTCGATACCATCTAGATTGGCCAGCCCCTCGGTAGAGAACCGATTTCTCGGAGGATTACTTAGAGGTGGAGGCAGGTTTTGACCAGTGTCAGAGCTGGTCCTGATATATCCCATTAGCTGGTGCTGACCATACGCATTCCGGTGTTGCAGAGTGTCAGAAATGTTGACAAGAAAGTGACACAATTTACAAGGAAGATACCACTTCACTGATCAGGAATGCAACAGACTGCGAATGGGATCTAGAATATAATTATATTTAAGGGATTATCCTAGATATTTTTATGTTTATAGAAACAGTTGCTGTTGTGTGAACAAGACGGAAAATGGGACCCACGACAATAGAAAAAGCGGAGTCCTGGATCACCTAGTCAAATACCCTTCTACAAATTATATAACTCCCGTGTTTCACAGAAAAGACGAATACGCATTCTTGCAGAAACCTATGCCAAAAGTCGTCCCTCCGTGAGATGCAATTTTTTTTTATTTTGAAGCCCCACCCTGACTTCTGCCGGGGGCCCTGAATATAGCCTAGCAAAAGATATGCCCGAAACGGCTGCAAGGGGTTTCTGGGACCTCTCCACGGGTGATCCTCATCCAGACGGTGGCAATTTGTGTCACCAGGTGTTTACCGCTTGTGTCATGTCTTGGTGGGGTACAACTACCGACCTACCATCTTGCAGAACAACATCCCATACATGTATTTAACTCAAAAAGAAATAAGCACAATATAAATAGTGGGCTCGTGTAGAAACCAAATGCCAAGAAGCCTTCCCGTGTAATTGTTGAGAAATATTACACCAAGCCGACCAGTGACTTCCACACAAACACGCCGACCAATGACTTCCACACAAACAAGCTGACCAATGACTTCCACACATACACGCCGACCAATGACTTCCACACAAACAAGCTGACCAATGACTTCCACACAAACACGCCGACCAGTGACTTCTACACAGACGAGCCAACCAGTGACTTCCACACAAACAAGCCGACCAGTGACTTCCACACAAACACGCCGACCAGTGACTTCCACACAGACAAGCCGACCAATGACTTCCACACAAACAAGCCGACCAGTGACTTCCACACAGACAAGCCGACCAGTGACTTCCACACAGACGAGCCGACCAGTGACTTCCATACAAACAAGCCGACCAGTGACTTCCACACAAACAAGCCGACCAGTGACTTCCACACAAACGAGCCGACCAGTGACTTCCACACAGACAAGCCGACCAGTGACTTCCACACAGACAAGCCGACCAGTGACTTCCACATAGACAAGCCGACCAGTGACTTCCACACAAACAAGCCGACCAGTGACTTCCACACAAACACGCCGACCAATGACTTCCACACAAACACGCCGACCAGTGACTTTCACACAAACAAGCTGACCAGTGACTTCCACACAAACAAGCCGACCAGTGACTTCCACACAATCAAGCCGACCAGTGACTTAGACACAGACGAGCCGACCAGTGACTTCCACACAAACGAGCCGACCAGTGACTTCCACACAGACAAGCCGACCAGTGACTTCCACACAAACAAGCCGACCAGTGACTTCCACACAAACACGCCGACCAGTGACTTCCACACAAACAAGCCGACCAATGACTTTCACACAAACAAGCTGACCAGTGACTTCCACACAAACAAGCTGACCAGTGACTTCCACACAAACAAGCCGACCAATGACTTCCACACAAACACGCCGACCAATGACTTCCACACAGACAAGCCTACCAGTGACTTCCACACAGACAAGCCGACCAGTGACTTCCACACAAACACGCCGACCAATGACTTCCACACAAACAAGCTGACCAATGACTTCCACACAAACAAGCCGACCAGTAACTTCCACACAAACAAGCCGACCAGTGACTTCCACACAGACGAGCCGACCAGTGACTTCCACACAAACAAGCCGACCAGTGACTTCCACACAGACAAGCCGACCAGTGACTTCCACACAAACACGCCGACCAGTGACTTCCACACAAACACGCCGACCAGTGACTTTCACACAGACAAGCCGACCAATGACTTCCACACAAACAAGCTGACCAGTGACTTCCACACAAACAAGCTGACCAGTGACTTCCACACAAACAAGCCGACCAGTGACTTCCACACAAACAAGCCGACCAGTGACTTCCACACAAACAAGCCGACCAGTGACTTCCACACAAACAAGCCGACCAGTGACTTCCACACAAACAAGCTGACCAGTGACTTCCACACAAACAAGCCGACCAGTGACTTAGACACAGACGAGCCGACCAGTGACATCCACACAAACAAGCCAGTATGCGAGGAGATTGCATTTATCCCCAGCAAGAAGCGGAGGAAGGGGATTGCTGGATTTGTGACAAATCTGATAAAGAGGATTCAAAAGGGACCACTAAGAAATGTAAAAAAGAAAGAGGAGAGACAACTATGTACCAGAACTTTTTGCTCTTGAGCTGGAGATTCTTGAAGCTGATGCAGATACCAAAGAGATGTTCAAGGCATTGGACTTTGGGAAATTTCCACACATTCAGGTCACCCAGCCTACTCCTGCTTTTGTTGGAGGAAGGGCACATACAACTGGTTTGAGGACATAAAGATCAGGAACGAATAAAGTCATGATCAGTTCAATATAATATCAGATGTAACACACAAAAAGTAAGTAAAAATTTAAAACATTTATTCATCAAAGCACTTGAACAAAGGCCGAAAGAGGCAACTGAAGTGCCAGAGCATGGTGGGTACGGGGAGGAGAAACAATCTAATTCATGGAACAAAAACTGTTACCTGTACTTTGTATCAATAGAGACATTATGAATCAGCCAAATGCTCACTCACGTTTCCTTTTTGAAAGCAGTCTATCTGGGTTATCGGGTGCCCGTGAAGACAGCTAAATGGGGGTTAGAGGATAAGATGCGATACTGAACTGGGTTATGGGGTGCCGTGAAGACAGCTAAATGGGGATTAGAGGATAAGAAGCGATACTGTATCTGGGTTATGGGATGCACGTGAAGACAGCTAAATGGGGATAAGGGGATAAGAAGCGATCTAGATTCTAAAAAGGACTAGAACAGTCAGTGGTAGAAAAGGCAGGGGCTGATGGAGAAATGATGTTGGATGGGCATGAAGAGCATCAAGAAGAAATCAAATGAACATAATTGATCGAGAACATCAAAGGTGGAGATTTGCGGAGAAACATTACCAACCACATAGTCTGATATGACATGTTGAGAATATTCGAAATGAAATATTAACCATAATAAACCAAAAGTTGAGATGATTGTATCAGTTTAAAGAGACAATGTAGATTCGACTCTTAAAATATACGCCTGTAGCTGTAATTCTTCCAGTACTTCTCTGCGCTTGCTAAACGTAAACTGTGTATTAGCGCCATGCTAAAATGTCGAATCAGTTTTAGATAACTTGTCTCAAAAAGCTGCTCTGAATCAGATGGCAAGATAGGATCCCACATACTGTGGTACTTGATAGGGCAAACCTACTCTGAATCAGATGGCAAGATAGGATACCACATACTGTGGTTCTTGATAGGGCAAACCTACATGGCATCTACACGATACTGGAGAATTATCAGCTGCTTTGAAAAAGTACTAGTCAAAACTGCTCTCAATTGTTGTTGGCATCAACACAGTGACGTGGTAGGCTGCTGCACAGGACCGTTCTAAATGGCGTACACGCATTAGGCATGGTGCATCAGAAGAAGAAGGTTCGAGGGTACGATCACAGCCAAGAAGGAAAGAAGGGACAAATTACCTTCTTCAAAGAGGCCAAAACATTTAAAATTGGACAGACCACATAAAGAAATAAAGAATTTATATACTGTCACATTTTGAACTTGTGATTTTTCAAGAAAGAAAGCATAGAGCTTAGTTACAAATATAAATATGTTTGGCTAAAGACCAGGATGAATTTCTCAGTTGCTTGATCATTTCTTTCTTTCTTCTTTTACCCCACCAGGACATCACACAAGCGATAAACACTCGATGGCACAAAGTGCTACCATGTGGATAAGGATCACCCGTGGAGAGGTTCCAGAAACCACGTTCAGCCATAAGACCGTATTTATGGCCAGGCTATATTGCGGCTCCTGGCAAGAGCCAGAGGAGTGCTTCAAATAACGAAAAATTGCATCCCACGAAGGGGTGACAATGTATTTCTATGGCTTGATCAAGTGGCTTTAAGGACAAGAATACATGTATGATGCAGGAATTTGAGAGTGATACAAATGATAATCCCGAAGTACCGGGTTCCATTCCAGCTGCAGACGATTTAGAAGCCGACTGATGCAATTTACTAAACCTAAAATTACCTAGAAAACCGCACAACAGTCATCAAAATCTATAAAGGACGTGAAATTTTAAAAGAAACAAAAAATAAAAGTAGCGCATTTCTGTATGCAGCATGGAACCAGGGCTAAAAATTAATTATGTTTCAGACTCGAAAAAAATTGCTCGTAAAATAGATAAATTAATGAGATAAGTTTATGGGGATCAACGTTCATCTTGTGCACAAGCTGGCATCATCATCGTGTGCTCTGTCGGTAAGGATAAGCTGTCATACTTTGCCATCTCACACGATTACTAGAACCCAGATCAGTTCAATGTGTTTCTTTCGCCCCATCATTTAGCCAGGCCATCATGTTTTTATCTCTTTGCCGTCTTCTTGCTCTCTTTCCATCAGTCTTTTCAGTTCCTACCAAGTTTTCCGTCCATTCCTTCTCATTACATGTTTGAAATGAAATTAAAAATTAAAAAAAAAAAAACACATTGATTGTCTACGTATAATTATTCTAATAAGTTTACGACTTTCATGTGTCTCAATGAAGACAACTTCGTTGGTTTTTCTATCCTTCCGCGATACCCTTTGCATTTTTCTCAGAAACGACATTTCTGCTGCTAGTTTTTTCATCTTTCTTGCTTAATGACCATGTCTCACATGCGTGCAACAACACAGGTTGTACATAACACTTTGACACTCTTTTCCTCTCTGCTGTTGGTATCTTCTTGTTTTGTATCTTACTGAATGCTACTTTTGCTACGTCACTTGCTTAAGAATGTTGTCGTCTGCATGTATTTCACAATGTTTGCTCTATCAAAAGCTAGCGTGTAGTCAATACAGCAGAGATGAAGGTGTTTATTTACTTATACCTAACGTTTTATTACTGTTCTCAGAAAATATACATTATTTGTTGTACACTTGCCTTCTACGAGCCCACATTACTGATCACATATTTCTGATTGTATTTTCTTCCTGGTCCTTTGCAAGATCCTTAGCTAAATTTGTGTCATGAGGAACATGATCCCAAATGCTGATCCCATTCTAAGGCCCATAGTTTCTTTCGGACTGCAATCAATGCAGAATAACATAAGTCATTTGGAATATCTCAGGCGATATATATTGTATTCAATAACCTGATGATATGGTCTATTCCACATCCTTCTAACCTATTTATCGTTTCACTCGTGTTATTGTCTGGACCTGGGGTCTTTCCACCTTTCATGGAATTAAGGGCATTCCGAACTTCCATCTTCGAAATTGGGTAGTCCTTCGTTGTTACAAATAATTTGAAAATGTTCTTTACGGGAATCGCTGTATAGATCTTTTACGAACACTGAACATGCATCTAATATTGCATCTCAGGTCACTGGATGTTACCTTCTTTGGTGGCAGTGAAAAGTGATTTGGAAAATATGCAGAGTGATGGAGCCGTCCAGTTTCTGTTGGTGGTGATGAATTCATTGCCAAAGTCAGAGAACAGAAATGAGAAGACCGATCTACGATTGTGAGGAAGATGGCAGAGGAATGTGGTTGACTTTGACAAACACTAATCTTCATACAACTGTGTCATCAATTCAACTGTCTAAAAATCACCTTTCCCAGCTTGAAAAAACTGACTGCTTCATAGACGTCTCGTCACTCCGAATTAGATGACGCAATACAGAAATGTCAATTACAACTAGACTGTAGGATACAAAAAGCGTGCCAAATACAGTGCCTTGGATTTTTCAAAAATCCATTCTGAAACTGTTTTCGAATTCTAAATCGTCCAAGTTCGAAGGTAATCTAGTTCTCATTTCAAATAATTGAAACTGAATTCATCTGTTCAAGGGTCCAACTAAGTAAACTTTTAAAATGTATTTTTTTCCAGTTACAGTACACTAAATGTTATTGTTATATTTCAGTACAAACATAAATGAATAAAAAAGAAATAAAAACATTGAATTTACTCAACCTTGACAAAACTGGCGACACTGCACACAAAAGTAGGAAGATCAAGAGGGGCCTAAGGAGAATATTATTTGGAAGATGAGTCAACTTCAATGATAAGATCAGGAATCCCGAATGGTGTTTCATGTCATTGTTGGTCACCACTTGTAAAGAGTTTGGGGTCACTAGTTTTTGTTCACAACCAGTGTTCCAAAGTGCTCTGTGGCTGACAGCCATTTTCGAGTTTTATCAAATATGGGCAAGTATTTTGATTGAATAAGTTAGCACAAGTTGACCAGGGCTCTGTCCGGATGGTATCTCTCAACAACTTCCGGCTAGTCTCAACAACGTGGTCAACAGATCTCAGATTGTTTCAGTAGTGCTAATTCTTTTAGCTTCTCCCTCGTGATCCCCGTGAGAAAATTTCGTTTGCAGTTTCTTGCTCCTGTTGCTGGTGAAGGTGTTAAAGCTACTGAGTTGTCAGCTCAGTCGTGACATCGGCACGTGCCAGCGTTCGGTTTCCAAAGTTGCGTTCGAGTTCCCCACAAAAATTTACTTGACCATCCAAGTTGTTCGGGTTTTGAGGTGTTCGAATTCCGAGGTGCCACTATACATTGTTTGGCATTCATAAAATTAGAAGGAAGAATTTGATGTCAGAGAATCCTCGATCTCTTAGTGACCTCACTGCATCGTTGCCGTGGTATTGTCTTTGAATCCATGCGAAGCCAAGAATGCTTTTGTAAACTGACATGAGTTCATCTACCCAGGCTTAAATGGATACCGACAATTGTTCTGGAAATCAAATACGACCAGCTTGAATGCGACCACGTCAACGATCGAGTCCCAAAATGTCTTTAAAAAAACAAGCCTAGAACTAAACGGGTTATAAGGTGTGCAAATGGGTCATATAAATGCACTTTATGTGATGCTGCATTTTAATACACGCCAAGAGCAATTTATATCTTTGCTCAGTGTCGAAGGATTGAAAGGTAAACATGGTTAAACAGATCCCAGCTAAATGATGGCTTTATCTGACATCGACGTGCCAATCTCGACACAATTAGGCCTGAAATGGTTAAACTAACTTCCAAAGTTTTTTGACATAATCAGTTAGATCGGTGTCTTGTTTAATGTCTATACAATTCCAATAATGTAATGGTAAGGTTGCAATAATGCAATCATATCATTATCTATCGCCGGAAAAGTACGTGTAATTAACTTATTATCTGAACAGTATTGTCAACTACCATCTCTATAATCTTCCCTGATCTGTTTGATCATCCTCTCACCACCTCTTATGCCCCCCCCCCCCCTTTCTTGTAGCGGGTCTTTCAGGCTGAAGTTAGTTTAAGATATAATCTGCTCTATCAAC